TGGGGGGTGGGGGGTGGGGGTGGAGTTAAAAGGTCTGGAGTCGACAATTCTCTGACGAGTTTGCTTTTTTATTTTAATAAGCCTTGAAAGACTCCCTGCGTATTTGTCATCGCGGTGGGGTAAATGTTGCTTACGACAAAGCCCCACAATAATAACTATAATAAGAGTAGAGATTATTTATTCGATATTGACAAACTGAATGTTTCGATTTGTGTCAAGCACCTTCTGCTTCTTGTGGAGACTGTGAATGAGAATTCCGGAGCACGGCTTAACGAAGGATAGAAGTCCAAAAGTACTCTCGAAAAACATCAGATACCCTGAATAAACTCATAAATGTTTATAAATTATCAATAAAACTAGAATGGGTTACAATAGCCTACTTCCCCAAACAATTAATCTTCCTTCGCGTATTTTAACGTCTTCTAACTTAAAAAAAAGAAAGTACGATAAACGAGGCTTTTCTTTGTTCATCTTTGTTTATAAACTTAATTCAACTGCTGCCAGTGTTTTTCAACATGAAATACAATTCAGAAACACACACGTTGGGAAAAAAACTCCTCCGACTTCTCACTACCGGATGTAACTTACAACCAGTCTAAGTGCGGTGGTGGCATTACAGACATCCCGGGCCGTAATAGTAAACTTTTCCTGTCTCAAGTCACCAATCTCCACGTTGCTGCCAGTCGCTCGCCACAAAAACTCCCCTGATTGGCTGATGTATGCGTCCGGACGATTGACGCTCAGGATGACTCTTGATCCTTCGGGGTCGCGGGCAGTGATGGTCAGTCTCGCATCTTGACCGTTGAATACGAGGACAGAGTTCTGGGCATACAGCACAGGGGCTTCGTTGTCTGTGAGTGAAAGTGACAGTAAAAGTTGTGTGAGCCATTACAGTTGCTGTTGTAGATTTGTCTTGCGCGGAAAACGCTCTTGGCGTGTGTTTACAATCCTTAGCTCGAAAGCTGCCTTTTTTTCCCCATTTAATAATTTCAGTCCCCAAGGACAACAGTGTTGGTAACAGCTGGCGCTAGCAATGATCATTCATATAAATTCAGTTAAAGTTAAAGTAAACTGAAGTAATCCATTTATTAGAGCTGACTTGACCAGCTGCGTACATCAGATGTCTCATCTCTCCGAGTGGCCACTTTTAGATGGTTGGACGGCACGCGGGAAAGATGCATTTAGCTCACTTTAAGAATGGGAGAAGAGAAGGGGGGAACAGAGGTCGAAGTTTAATTTTACCTGAATTCTATGATATCGATATCGATTGCCAAAAACACAACGTGCACTTCCATCAACAACAAAAAAAGAAAAAAAAAAAGGCAAAACACATTTCCCTACAGTACAAGTTCCTGTCCAAACAAACAAATCACAAACAAAAATCTTAGCTAACAAACACAGGTCGATCATTCTGTACCTTGTCTGGGAGACCATTTTTTCGTGGAGACCTCGGGGGCACACTGGAGGCACGCGTCATAGGGTTTGAGCGATCCAGCAACATAACATTCATTGGTGATGTAGCAGTAGCCTTCCTGTGACACACACGCATAGGCAAATACAGACACACAAACACAAGAATGCGGATAAGACAGACCCCCTTCTTTTATTCAATATAGTATGTTGCAATTATATTCTCACACCTTCGTATAAATGCTTGTATCAACCTACACCATTGTATTCATTCCAAGCGTATTTTTGTAAGTGAAGCGTTTTTAATGAAGTCAAAATCATGCACTGTCGTGAATCGAAACCCTCCCGTTCTTAATATTCTTCTTCATCCTTTAAAAAATGAAATCTGACCGCTGTAAGTACAACCCCTTCCCTGAGACCTCCATCCCCACCTAGTGGAAGGAAAAATAAAACACCCCCACACCGAAAGAAACAACCCCCCCCTCCCATAAAAAGAAAGAAAAACCGCCACAAACACAGCTCGGAGCATGAGAAAAGAAAGTCAGTAATAACAAATTACAGACTTCAACATAAGTTAGGGACCACTTGCAAACACTCTGAGTGGTCTTCTTGGGTCGACCTGCACGTGGGCGTTCTTGGACTTGGACTGATGCCGTGGCTTGATGGCGCTGCCTCAAGCGGACAATGACAGAACGTGACACTGCAAGCCTTCTGGCAACTTCTCGGACTCCAACTCCATCATGCAGCCATACCATAGCTCTGGCACGATCAAAGTCTCTCAGCTTTTGTCTTGGTGGCATGTTGATGCGATACTGGATTTTGCGCAAACGGTGGCTTTAATTGCCACCAAAGTGAGCACAGTTCGAGACCATACGTCCGTTTATGACGTGCACCACAAATTTTTAATTAGCAATGTCCGAGGTGTCGCACACAAGTCTATAAAAATCAGCAAATTAAGCCAAAATTCCTCGAGGATTTCCGTGCTGCACATAGTGGTTTTGCACCTTTAGGAATCTTTGCAGTACGAATTGGTAACACATTAACACTTTCAGAGCAAACACATTTGAAATATTTCTCGTTGTCTTTTTTTTTCTGAATTTTCAAAAATCTGGGCTGTCTGTCAAGGTGGTCCTTAACTTATATTGAAGTCTGTATGTCTTACCTTAACCCTACATCCGTGGCGGCCATCTTGTTGACACTCGAGACAGGCGGAGTCGTAGATAGTGAGATACTTTAATGCCACGGCGTTGTTTCTCTGGTCTATTGCCTTGAGTGAGTTGATGAGGAGGCGGAAAGGGGGGGGGAACATTATAATGGAGGTGGAAGGGTGTTATGTGTGTGTATGTGTGTGTGTGTATGTGTGTGTGTGTATGTGTGTGTATGTGTGTGTGTGTGTATGTGTGTGTATGTGTGTGTATGTGTGTGTGTATGTGTGTGTATGTGTGTGTATGTGTGTGTATGTGTGTGTATGTGTGTGTGTGTGTATGTGTGTGTATGTGTGTGTATGTGTGTGTGTATGTGTGTGTATGTGTGTGTATGTGTGTGCGTGTGTATGTGTGTGTATGTGTGTGTGTATGTTTGTGTGTATGTGTATGTGTGTGTGTGTATGTGTGTATGTGTGTGTGTATGTGTGTGTATGTATGCGTGTGTGTGTTTGTGTGTAAGTGTGTATGTCTGCGTATGTGTGTTGGGGGTTGGGGGTTCCTGTTGAGGTGAGGCTCTCCACGTGTGCTGATCCCCTTAACACTGTCTCAGTCCTCAGCTTTCTTTCTTTCTTTCTTTCTTTCTTTCCTTTAACAACGAAAGGAAAGAAAACAAAACTACCCCCCTCTCAAAGAAAAAAGTAAACGAAAGGTAAAAAAAGAATATTAATAATAACGATATTATAGTATTATATAATGGAATACAATCATTTAGTGGAAATGCCCTTATGAATTTAGCAATCGACAAATATATAAATAAATGTAATTATACCTCCAGCTTGAGGCTGTGGAACTCATGCACGCTGGTGAAAATCTGTCTTAAGTAGGAGTAGAAGGGCAGGACACACAGGAACTGTCCCTCGGGGCTCAGTATGCTAGAAGTTACGACCGGCCGGGTGAACTCCACGATGCCAGCCGGGGAAATCTGGGGAAAAAACAGTAAGTTAGTGTGAGGGTTTCACGCTTTAAACAACACCATTAGATTATATAAGTATAAGAGACGGGGTCTCTGATTTAAAGTCCGTCTCTGATAGGACAAAGCCAAATGGATTAAGAGCCTTGAAAACTACACAAAACGATCCGAGTTTAAGAATGCCGAGTTTGGGATTCAAACCAGGCCACCCGCCCCGTAGCCCAGAATGATACCAACTGGGCTAACGGAGCTCTCGGATGAAGGGGGGGACCCACCAAACAACGTAACAACAAAGCAAAAGCTATCGTGTTTGACGGCGGTTTTGTGTTCCTAGGCTGTAGAAGTTTGACGATAGGAAGAGGAAATGGGAGGGGGAGGGGTACCGACAGGGATGGGGGTATGGGGGTGGAAGAGATGGGTGTGAGGGGGGAACAGGAGAAGGGGCGGCGCGGGGGGGGGGGGGGGTGAGGGGGGGCAGGGATGTTCATCTGCTACAGATTCTTTGCTGACAGCATATTTTTTTCTTTAAAGGGAGAACTGAGAAGAATTATGCAGGTGCTGGGTGCCCTGCCTATTGAGACGTGGAAGAAACTCACAACCGGATTATTACAAGACAAACAACTATTATACTAGTCCATTATTTCAGAAGCTGAATCATCCATATGACAATCATTACCAGTTGGGTCAAGACGATGCACTGGTCAGAGCGTAGAAAATATGAATATCTCTTCTTGCACTCTTGTCAACAGGCATTTTCTGCCTGCGTTGGCTTGAATCTAGTCTGAACAGCTAGCTTTCGCTGGCAAAATTGAAGGCAAACTTACTTGGAGAGCCTAAACAGGTGGGTGATAGGGAAAGATCAGGATAATGAGGCTCTTTTTAGAGCATCTGAGCAAAAGAATCCATGGAGAACCATGATCACCGATGTCTGTTGCGGATCTGCTGGCACGTGATGATGATTGGCTTGACAGTAGTATGCACCATCTTTACAGATGATAGATCTAAATAAATGTACATGAATAAAACAAAACCATTATTCCACCGTGGGACTCAGCACTGGGTTCTCTTTCATTTTCCATTCTCGAAAATGCATCATAGCACAGAATGTGAAAGACATAGTACTATTGTGTATGTAAGAAAAACCTACCATGTTTCAATTAAAAGAGATCTAAATCGAAACAATTTTGTATGCAATAAGAAAAAGTTTGATAGGGATCCTGATTATTATCTTTTTTTTTGCGAAGTAAGAAAAAACTTGTTCATACGTTTGGCCAATTGATTCACGCCCCCCGCCCAACCACTCTCTTCCCCACTACAGTGGCGTCGATAGCCAAGTGGTTACGCTACTGGACTCGTGGTCGTGAGATTGCGTTTTCGGAGATTCGAGCCTCATCTCGGCCCGACGTTGTGTCCTTGGGAAAGGCACTTTACACGAAATTCTTATTTGGCTCACTCATTTCAGAGATGGACATTAAACGTAAATAACCTAACTGTGTTGATAGGGGCGTTAAACGTATATCATTTTCACCATTTCACCCCACCCCGACCCCGCTCCAAAATCAAGCTGTTACCTTGACAGGTGTGACGCTGCACTTGAGGGATGGCTGCCTGTAGACTCCGGCGAAGGCGATAAGAGTACATCTGTCAGTGGAGGAATCGCACGCCTCGAACTGGGCACTCGACTCCTCGGTTTGCAGGTCGGCGCTCTCTGAATCACTCTTGGATGATGATGATGATGATGATGATGATGATGATGATGATGATGATGATGATGATGATGATGATGATGATGATGATGATGATGATGATGATGATGGGTTTCGAGTAGCTGATGCAGCAGTGGTTGTCGCTGTTGTTTTCTTTATAGGGTAGGTCTCCTTGGTGGGTCTAAATTGGGAATGTATTGTAGTTTTTTGTGTAAAAAATGTACTTTTTGTCCCCGAATCTGTTGCAAAATTTTCAAAGTAGTTTCTGGTAGTTGTAGAGGCTCTCTTTGTTATTGAAGATGCTGTGGTTGGAGATGTGGTGGTGGGTGTTGTGGTAGTTGTAGTTGGAGGGGTGGTAGTAGTACTCGTGGTGGTGGTGGGGGTAGGGGTGGTGGTAGTGGTTGTGGTGGTGGTAGTGGTGGTAGCGGTTGTGGTAGGACTGGTGGTGGGCGTTGTTGAAGGAGCAGAAGGGTAGAACCGTGTGGTATGTTGGGTTGAAGATGCAGTCCTTTCAGTAGCTGTGACTGGTCCAAGCGTGCGGCCGTTCCTCCGAGGTTCCCAGGTAGGTGTTTTTGTATCCCTCCCCGTTTCTGTTGTCAGAAGACACATTATGCATACTTCAGTTCTCTCAGAGTAAAACAGTGAGTGGCTGACAGGTGTTCTGGTGTGTTTTGCTCCTTCTTTCCTATCAAATATATATTGTTTTAGTCTCTCCCTCTCTTTTTTGTGTTTGTCACTCACTTGTAACATCTCTATTTTTCGTTGACCAAATTATGTTGCAAGTGCGGTAAAACCCATATTAATAGAAACAAAATCAGAGTAAAAGATATGGAAAAATCGAAACAACCCGAGTGAACGAACAACATAGTGAATTCCAACAGGTTTTTGGCTTATTTTTCGGAAGACATAAATAGAACTGCATACAAATACGCTTTTTTTTAAAGGAGTGAGCACTTTGACAACTGGATCTAAGGAGAAAGATGTAAGGAGACCAAAGGTGGGAGGAAAGTTTTCAGAGTCTAGATAGTGCACCAAGGTAAACACTACACCGACATATCTGGGAATTCTTATTCTTTCATAAGACGGACTGTAAGTCGAAAATTGTTCGCCATCTTGAACAACTTATTGGAGTAATGTTACAAATACTATTGGTTCCTGCAGGTTATCTAACCGTTGAACGTATCATTTTGCATCAACAGAAGACTCATGCTGTATTCCTGAGTAAAGAGGAACTTTTTAGTTAATACCTGGGTCTTTCTGCTGGGGTGTATCCTTCTTAGCCTAAGTTGGACCCTGACAGACAGGATCAGAATCCAGCCTCCTGAGTTATTTAAATTGTGTCGATGGGGTCATAAAAAAGCCTACATTATCAGAAATGGTCATGATTGTTTTGTCATCACTCAATGTTTAAGTGTTGCTGCTGGTGCGTTTCGTTTCTTGTGAAGTAAAAGAAAAAGATTTTTAAAAACACGTTTTCTCCGAGAAAACACATGACGGTGTCGTCCTACCTTCCACGACCACTTCACACGCCTCTCCTCTGTAGCCAGACTCGCAACGACAGCCTTCCTCCTGACACTGGCCCCGCCCACCACAGCCTCGAGGACACGTGACAGCATCAACCAGGTCACGTGGCCAGATGGGAGTGTCTGAGCCAGGGGCCATGAAGCTCTGGGCGTTTTCTATCAAAGCAAAATCACAAACGGCTTCCACTAGCCTTGTACTGTGGTTTGCCCATTTCAGGTCTCCTTTGATCTGGACAAAAAAAGATGATGACACATGAGAATTAAAATAGGCCACTTAACTGTTTAGAGGTATTTTGCAATTAGTCTCAATAAAAGAAAGCACGCCCCGAGATGATTAATTTTACTTCGAAAAGCATCTCCGAAAACCCGCGTGCACGCATGTCAACCAAAGTCGACACCAACAATTGTGAAAACTTTTCGTACCTCCCATTTGGAACTTACTTAACTTACAATACACGTGCGGGGTCTTCTCTTTCTTTGGGGTCTCAATGAGGTTGCCGTGACGTACGCCATACGCGGAAGACATTTGACGTATGTTGCAAATAGGAATTTACTTTAAGCGCAACCTATGCTCCTACTCGTTTTATGTAACACAAGTCTCTCCTAAAGCTACTCGTAATATGTATCGCGCAATGTATTGTAGATGTCACCAAAGGTATTTAAGAACTCGCTATTTTGTATCTTCAGTGGAGTAATGAACCATCTAATTGTAATGTGCAAGCCTTGCCTCAAAGGAGGAATACAAACAGGTCTCGCAGGTTTATGTATCCTGTAGCTGTAATTATAAATACATCATTAATTGCCGCCTCCACCCCCCCCAAACAAAAAAAACAACAACAAAAAACAACAACCTGCACTTATTACAGGCTCTTGTTGAAACTAACCTGTATATCTTCTTTGCAGAAGTCGAAAGCTGCTGAAATAAGCTGTCCAACCAGATTGTTGTCTGCGCAGGTCAACGTTACCGGAGCACCAAAGAGGATGTTTGCGCATGCGTCAGACGCCTCCGCTTCCGTCAGCCCACTCGGAGCAGGCCATGAAGGGAAGAACGCCTGGGTAGAAATCACGTGATCGGGCCGGAAGAAATAGGATCGTGTCTCTGGAGCAGAAGCAGTCCGTCCTGATCCTTGTGAGTTTGTATTTGATTTGACATTTGACCTTCCCAGAAAGTTCCCCTGGTCCTCGCTCTGTGCACCATCTGACTCGTACACGACTAAGCTGTCCACACTGATGTCTGTGTGTGACTCATGTACCTTCACAGTTTGGCGTCTATTCCTGCTGAGAACGGTGGCATCTAATTCCTCTGCGGATCCGAGTCATTCCAAAGAATTTTGTTTAAAAAGAGAAGAAAAACAGGAAAGACGTCAGAAACTCGAAGGAGAAAGAAGACTACGTTACAATGATTACTTCAAACATTTGATGTGTATGTGTTTATGTATGTGTGCATGTACTCTCTCTCTCTTTCTCTGAGTGTGTGTGTGTGTGTGTGTTTGTGTGTGTGTGTGTGTGTGTGTTTGTGTGTGTTTGTGTGTGTGTGTGTGTGTGTGTGTGTGTGTGTGTGTTGTGTGTGTGTGTGTATGTGTATATGTCAGGTCTTTTTCCGACAATGGAAAAGAAACGAAACTTCAGGAAACCCCAGAACGTCGCACATGTAGGCCTACATGAATTTATCAAAATAATACCTAAGAAAGCTATCATTGAAAGACAGACTTTTTAATTTGTCCCAAACATTTTTGTTTTTGTATAACATTCTTTAAAAAGTATCGGACTAAAGCGTTCTCTGGGTGAAAAGAGAAAGCATTGGGATAAATACAGCATGTGTGGTATTTTTAAATAGCCCCCTACTTAGGAAAACCCATTTCACAATGCTTTGCATTAGTCAGAATTTAAGGAAAGGGAACTTTGAAGCTTTTATAATGTCGGGTAGGGAGAGGGGGGGGGGGGAGGAGAGATGTTAGCTTTGACTGGAGGCTAAAAGCCCGTTTATGAGTGTATCTATTATTCTAGAGTATATCCCTATCAGTGTTTTTTTCACTTTTCATGTGGCGTATTTCAGCCATGATTCTAAAAAGAGGGCATTATTACATTTCAATCCAACTCCCATGTGAACTTGGAGGCCTTCTACCCCATATTTCAGAGACATGGGCTTTTTTAAAAAAATGCTCCCCGATTGGAATTTAGAGTTGTTCTGAAAGGCTTTGATTGGATTTTTCCGGGTAAAACAACCCATGCTGTTGGCAAATTTTAATGATTTGAAATATTTAAAAAAGTATAGTTAAAATACGAAGTTTTATGTACCCTGCCTTGGTTTTACGTACCTATGATTTAAGTCAAACGAAAAAAACATTTTACCCCACAGGTTTTAGAGCTACGTGATTTAATTTGGAAATGGGGGGGGGGGGGGGGGGTCTTTCTTTTTAGAATATAGTCTTACCTGGAAAAACTGTCTTTTCAAGATAAGATTCCGTTGACTCTTTTGATGGTTCGACAGAAACTATGATGTCATGGAATAATGATTTCATTGGACAGACACCCCCATCGGATATGGGAGAGCAGTCACATCTGATATGTTCATTAAACGGGGGTTCATGTCCATCAGCTCCTTCACCGGGTGCGTCGAACAAACTTTCACCTGGCCTCTGTCTGGTGGGAAATACAAAGAAATCTCAATTAGGGAATCGACAGCTATCATTTACCACCTAAGCGTACAGCTTACCGCGTGGGGTTGTCACAGTAACAGTAACGGTTAGGAATAGACAAAGACAGTACCTTGGACCCTTGAATCGACATGCAGACCTTGGCAAGTTCGCTTGCACTGGACAAACAGGAGGCAGAAAAGACCAACGTTAAACTTTTAAAAAAGAAAGTTAAAACGGGGGGAAAATGATTTAAAGAATTTGAAGTGGGTGGTTGGCGGGTGCTCTGGTGTGGTTTGCTTCTTCTTTCCTGTCAAACATCTTTCGTCCTTATCTCCCCTTCTTCTTTTTTATGTTTGTTACTCTCTTGTAACAGCTCTAATCTTCTGGCGCTCATATGATCTTATGCAGTTGCGAGCGCCGTAAAACCTCTACTAAAACTAAACTAAAGAATCGGAACAGATGGGCGGCGGGAGAAGACCAGAATACTATATTTTTTGTTGTTAGAGAACTTGAGCAGAGAAATGAGGGACGAATAATGATCACCGATATCTATTTCAGATTTCTAACTTAAAGAAAAAGAAGCATACTACTAGTGTGTGCATACTAATTCGTTTTGTCTAGCTAAGATTATTGAACAAACGTCTGTGATGTAGCGGTTAGTCGGTTCTCCGTCGCGTGCAGAAGACTTGAGTTCGATGATTCCCACGTGGGGAGGTTTTTGACCTTTGTCTATCTGTGGGGCATTGTATCCCCCTCAACCCAGGTTGGCCCGGACAAGGTGGGGCGAAGAAACTCATCTCCTAAATGTGAGGCAGCGTGGTGGAATCAGGCTCTCGTCAAAATAATGAAATCGAAGAAAACAGCAGTTTTCTCCCTGCTTAGCAATTTTTATCAATTTTTGTTTGTTTGGCTCAACACGTTTTAGGTCCATTTACAAACACATTCCTTTGAGGATTTCACCGAAAACGTTGATTAAAGGCACAAACATATAAATTTACAGTTGCCATGGACTCTCCAGCTTTGGAATTTTCCAAGCGTTGGCGGCCATTTTCTCGCTAATTATACCTCTTAAACCAGGTGACCCTCACCTCCTTCAATCCAAAATATCTCCACTTCTATTGGAGAAAGATGGGTAATTTTTTCATTGAAAGCAAGACAAATTAACAAGCTTTGAGATGATACCAATAACTCTACTTGCCCAAAAATTGACGAGAGCCTGATTCCACCATGCTGCTTCAAAATTATCCAAAATTGTGTCGACTGGGACTTCAACAATCACAGCTACAGGGACATACAAGGTCACTGGTCCACTCTCGTCATAGCAAATAGTAAACCTATATATTGCGTAGCAATGTAAAACTATACAAAAGAATCGAGACAAATTGGAATTATATTATTGCAACAGCATTTTAAAGCATCTTGAAGTGGACCATTTAAAAGCACACAGCAACAGTTTCTGTTAACGCACATTCAGGCCTTCATCACAACACTACTCGCCTCCAGCTCTCGACAAAGCTCAAAGTCCTGAGTATCTCATTGGCGCCCCTCACTGGGCTGCCGGCGGGTGTCCGGAAATCGTTTTCTGGATCCTTGTCGTTGTTGCCACAGAGCCCAGCACCGGAGTTCTGGTCGAGGCCTGGCAGGAACAAGGTCAGGGACAGGCCGAAGTCGGCCACGTACACGCGCACTCTCCGACCGTTAGCAAAAATAATCTGATAAATAAAGACAGAGCGGAGGAAATGATCAATAATTACGAGAATTTGAATATTGCCCGAGTGGCGGCCGAAGCCTACTCTTTATCGATTTTGGACCACCAAGACATCTTTAACGTGCGCAACTTGCACACGAGAACTCCGAGATTTTTTGCCCTTATGCGATTAAGCTAGGTGTTGGATCCCATCTACCATAAGATCAGGGGTGTGGCAGTAAGAAGGAGCCAAGGAGTAATTATCCTATTTACATTTAAAAAAACATCTCACATCATCACTTGTCACCACCATCTTTATCTAAAATCATCGTTAATCTCAGACCCTTATCCTTGAATCTTTTTCTATAACAGTTACATTGTATAATAAATATGTACATAATACACTATTGGGCACTATCATACGCACCTTTATCTACCAATCAGACTGCGTCAATCTCATAGAAATGGGCAAAGGGAAAACAGAAGTGTAAAATGATATACTCCCTGTATTCAGTGGCTACATAGGGTTGGGGCGTTGATTTTTTTAATGGGCGAGGGTTGGAAGGGGTGTGGGGATCCTTTCCTTTTATGACTTCATGTGATACAAAAAAGATCATTGTGTCAATGACGCTTAAGAAAGTGTTAGAGTATATGTGATGCAGAATGGTGGAATCCGGCTCTCGTCAATTTTAGGGCAAGTAGAGTTATTGGTATCATCTTAAAGCTTGTTCACTTGTCTTTATTAAGATGGAAAAAAAATCATTTATCTGGAATAAAAGTCGAGATATTTGCGAATGAAGGAGATGGGGGTCACATATCTTCAGAGGTAAAATTAGTGAGAAATTGCCGCCAAAGATTAGTTATTTCCTTAGCTTAAGAGTCCGTGTTAACTGAAAATTTACATTTTCAGTGCCTTTAATCAACGTTTTTCAGAAAAATCCACACAGAAATGAGTTCTTTAATGGGTATGAAAGGTGTTGAGCCAAAAAACAAATTTTTATAAAAATTCACAAACCTGCGGAAAAATGCAAGTTTCTTCACTTTTATTATTTTGACGAGAGCCTGATTCCATCACGCTGCCTCACATATTTCTCCCACAGTATATTTTAATGCGGATGCAACCACACCAACATAGCAATACACAAAAACAATGACAGCCACAGCTGTGCAGCAAGACCACCAACTCCGACAGCAAAGGGGGCAAATTATAACAAGAGCATGCAACAATGCAGCAGCAGCAGCACCACCACCGATCATCCACCACCGACAACAAAGCAACAACATTTACAGCAACAATAACAAAAATAACAACGAAAACAAAACAACAACAAAAATTACAGTAACAATAACAAAAATATCAACAACAACATCAGCAATAACAACAGCAACAACAACAACAACAACAACAACAACAACAACAACAACAACAACAACAACAATAAGAACAACAACAACAATAAGAACAACAACAACATCTCCAACAACAACAAAAACAACGACAACAACAACATAGTTAACAACAACTTAGTTATGACAGCAACGTAAATTGACAAGAAATCCATCAAAAACGAAACTATTTCCCGTACCGACAGCATTCTATTCTGCTCTCTCTCGTATATTTTGACGTCATCGCTGACGTAGCCAAGCGGATACGTCACCTCCACTGTGCCTGTGGTCTGTCTTCCGTGACAGTTGTCCAACGCGATGACGTCACTCGCTGACCTGATGACCATTCCACACACGCAAAATCCGTCCGCCGTCGATCCTGCGCAAGACGAGATTCTGATGTGTACCTAGAGAGTGAGAAAGAGACAAGCTTTATGGGGAATTTATTTCACTTTGTTTGAGTAAATAGATGCAAAAAGACCCAACAATTGTGAGGCAGCGTGGTGGAATCAGGCTCTCGTCAATTTTTGGACATGTAGAGATATTGGTATCTTCCTAAAGCTTGTTCACTTGTCTTTATTCGGATGAAAAAAATATCCGTTTATCTTGAATACAAGTCGAGATATTTGCGAATGAACGAGATGGGGGTCACCTGTTTCAGAGGTAAAATTAGAGAGAAAATGGCTGTCAAAGATTAGTTATTTCCTTAGCTTAAGAGTCCATGGTAACTGAAAATTTACATTTTTTGTGCCTTTTATCAACGTTTTTAGAAAGATCCACACAGTAATAAGTTTTTTAATGGGCATGAAAGGTATTGAGGCAAAACAAAAAATTGATAAAATTAACAAACCTGCGGAAAATGCAAGTTTCTTCACTTTGATTATTTTGACGAGAGCCTGAATCCACCACGCTGCCTCACAATTGTATTTTGATGTTTGGAAAAATAAGAAAGCTAAACAGAAACAATAGAGGGAGAAAAACGAGGAGGATCTTTCTAAAGTTCTCTAAAGCCACAAGCCTTTATAAGGAAGTGAATAACAAGTACAAGAATGCTTATAAATGAGAAAACGGAAATAGAAAAAAAAGAATACTGCACTCAGAGGAAAAGACATGAGGACGAGGATTGTTTGTTTTTGTTTGTTTGTTTTTATTTGTTTGTTTTGTTTGTTTGTTTTGTTTTTGTGTTGTTGTTGTTCTTTTTCTGTTTCGTTGTTGTT